TTCTATTAATATATTAGTATTAGAAACTCACCTAGGGATTGCCATATGTAAGGCTGGATTCATGAGGTTCTTGCCTCACTGCAATCAGGTTATTCCTTACTCTGTGGGTGAGCTCAGTTCTGAAATAGTCTGGTAAGATAGTTACTCACCCTCATAGTTCTGAGTTAAGGACAGATGGCCCCAGGCAACACTGGTCCGTGCTGGTGAGACTTCCTGTAGCCTCCCCCTTACTCATGCCCCTTTTCTTGCCCTTGTACCTCTTCCCTTAGTTCTCAGGGACTTTCTGCTCCTTTGTTCTTCCAGAGTCCCCTCAGAAAAAATGAATGATGTATTCAATGGCTACTACTCTCAGGGGTACTTGTGTTGAACCAAATATGAGGAGCCTTAGCAAAAAGGAATTGATTTCTAGTATCAAACTTACAGGCATTGACAAAACAGATAAGGAGTATGCTTCAGGAAGAATCATAATAGTGGTGATGAGTGTGTGTGTGTGTGTGTGTGTGTGTGTGTGAGTGACTAGGGGGATGCCACCTCGGGCTCCCTTTAGGCACCACCCATGGACATGACTGAACAGGGATCCCAGGTGTCTACAGGTCCTGAGACAAATGGATAGAATATTCTTGCAAAGGCTTCGGTGGCTTTGTAAACTCTGCTCACCCAGTAAGACTGTGACCGATTCACCCTTTCAATCCATATGCCCAGTGCTGTATCGACTAGCTGCCATGCTCTCACTCTGTGGGCATTTTTGGTATCTCCCCTCGTTCCCCCCCCCCACGAAGGCGCACATATTCAGTGAAGGATAATTGAAAGAAAGGTAGAAAGGTGTGCTCAGAGCTAGGCTACCAAATCCTGGCCCCTATGGACTGGCAAAAAAGATTCAACAGAAAACACATGGGTCTACATCAATGGTTCTCAACCTTAAGTGCTTTTGCCCCCAGAGGACATTTGACATTATCTGGAAACATCGTTAGTTGTCACCCTCGGGGGGGACAGGGGCCCCTTGGCATCTAGTGTGTGGAGGCCAGGGATGCTGCAGAACACCCTGCAATGCACAGGACAGGCTCCCATAAGGAAGAATTATTTGGCCCCAAAATGTCAATAGTGTAGAGGTCGAGGAACTGGTCTAAATGAAGATGGAAAGAGGACTCCAGTTTGGACTTCCAGGACTCCCAGCACTGGACAGTGCTTGCAGAGGGGAGCAGTTCCTTATCCTCTAAATGACTAACTCCTGGGAGTCCTGGAAGTGTTTGCACTTGTGTGTGTTCTCCAGGCCATCCGTGATAGATTCAGGTCTGAGCCTGTTTATAAGTGGTCACTTGTATCATTCAGTAAATTATTCAGCACCAACTATGTCCCAGGCACAGCTCTAGGCAGGACAAGTAACAAACAACACGTACAACAACATAAGTTACCATTTATTGACACTTGGCAGACTTGTGCTTAGCATTTTATGTGAATTGTATCCTCTAATATTGCACAACAACCCTGTAAAGGAACTATTTAACGTAATCCCTGTTTACAGAAGAAGAAAGTGAGGTTTAGGAAGAACCAGTGGCTTGCCCAAGATTGTAAGGAAATGGTGGAAATGCATTGCAAAGTCATGCACTTGGATACTCCTAGCCACTGAACTGCACAGAGAAAAGAAAGAGGTTGCCCCTGAAATAGAATCAGGCGTCTGCATGTGGATTAGCCACACTAAATGGTAATTTCCAGGAAATTTCATTCTAACTAAGTTTGATTTTAATTTCAAAGTTTGACTTGCAAGCCCCAAATTCCAGCTCAAAAGAGTGTGGGCTCAAAGACTGGATTCTGTGTCCCTAGATGAGAAGCTCTGGTTTCGGGTAGCTCCCGGACCGGCTGGATGCGCGCCCTGACCTCCTCCCAAACCATGCAGCGGAGGAACGACTTCGGTCCCGACCGAGACAGGGTGAGTAGTGTTTGAACCGAAGCGCGTTGTCCCTCCAAAGCCCATCGGCGCTCCTCCAGGCGGCGGCTGGCTGCTGAGAGCTCTTGGGCGCCGCAGCTGCCTCCACGCTCCCCAGCTCTGCGCTCTCGCCACCGCCTTGGTAACCACTGCGGCCGCCGCAAGGAGGCTGCGTTTTCTCCAAACGCTCTCCAGGACAGCGCGTCAGAAAGCGCCAAGGCTGCTCTTCTGGGAGCGGGACAGGGAAATAAAGCCTTGCGTAGGGAAAGCTGAGAGGAAGAAAGGCACGCTCCTAGGAGAACTGGACCCGCTTGGACCCCGCTGGCAGCAGTGGCTCTGCAGCTTCTATGAGCAGCTGGGAACAGGACGGACCTCGGCATAGGGTGACAAAACTGAAGCATTCGGGCTGAGGAGTACGCTTGAGACTGGGGGAGAGGCGCGGTGTCCAGCCTCTTCACATTCCTCCAAGCTCCACTTCCATCTTCCTCTATAGCCACCACCCTGTCCCCAAGCCAGGGCCCTAGCAGGCCCATCTCCAAAAATGCCTTTCTGGTGGAGAGGTCTGTCCCTGAAAGCTGGAGAGAGCCTCTACCAGTGCACTTGACGACTCCCTCCCATATCCAGAGAAGGAAGTGGTTCCAAGTGAGCCCTTCGCCCTTCGCATTCACCGTGCACCTGTTTCCTGAAGGCCGAGCTCCCCGGGGCCCCAAACCTCAGTCAAAGACAGACCGGTGGGTTGCAGGTAGCTAAAGGATACGAAACTTCACTCACCCAAGGGTTCTTAGAGCAGCGTGTCAGCCAAAAAACTCAGCGTCAAAATCATTGATAATAAAACATTAGTTGGGATTCGATTCCCAGTATGCCTCAAAGCACCTTGGCTTCCTTTGTATTGGTACAATGCCTCCCTCCTGGGAGTCGGACGACTGGTCTCAGGTGAGACTGGGGAGGGTGCAGAGAGGCGGGTCAGACCGACTCTCTGTCTCCAGCACAGCCCAGGAGTCTCGCTCCAGGAAGAACCGGAAATGGCCTATGGTGGGAAGCCAGATCGCACCCGCCTTTATTCTAGGAGAGGTGGAGAGAGCGCCTACCGCTCAGCTCGACTGAAGGAAAAGACCATTTTAGAAATGAACCCCGCCTGTGTTGAGCAACCCTAACTGGAGCCCCTTTCATGAAAGAGGCATATGTTTGCTTTGCCTGGACATTGGAAGTCCGGGGCTACCCCGGTGTGTGTGTGGGGGGGGGGGGTGGCAGGGAGATGTCTGGCAGGAAAAGAAGTGGCCCAGGTTTCCAGGAGGCGGAATGGGAGGCTTCTGCAGGTCGTGAGAACCCAAATCCGATTTCCTGAGCAGCAGAAATACCCCACTTCCGCGGCTGCGCGCTCTCCGCCTGGACGGAAACCCCAGTCCACAGAACGAGTGAAAACCCCGCATATCTCCCCAAGGAGGACTGGGGTGTGGATTCTAAAGTCGTAGTGGACTGTGGGGGTGTAAGAAGAATGGGTGAGAACATGGGTCCCGGAGGCACGGGCGCCTGTTACACAGGGCCCCTGGAGGGGACCGCGGCGCCAGATCGCTCGGGGTCCTCGGAATCTTGGCAGCACCGTCTGACAGAATTTGCCTCAAAGCAAGCCGAGGGGGCCGTTCCAGAGAAGGCCGCACCATCTTGTTGGGAATTTATCCCTAACAAATACGATAGATAAAAAAAATAAAAAATAAAAAAAATAACAAACATGTCAGAGCGCAGCAAAAGACTGAGTTCTCCGGCTCTCTGGTGGGAGTTAGTCACTGCTCATGGGGATGGCGGTCGGGACAACCAAACCCGCTGGGCTGCTGGTGAGGCGGGATCCCCGGCGAGAAGGGGGCGCTGCAGGGGTCTGGACCTGAGGCACCGCGTGGGGAGCGTTCCTTCCTTTCCTTCCGACTCGGCTCTCCGCTCTCCCCGGCACCCGTGCACCTGGCCGGAGGTCTGCAGAGACTAGGGAGCGCACGGGGCAAGTGGGGCACAGAAGGCAGAGTCCTCGCGGGGCGGAGGGTGCGGACAAGGGCTGGCGGAGCAGCAAGGTGAGGAGCGGAACGGAGCGTGGAGCTCGGACCTGCCACCCCATCCCCGCCCTGCCCCCACAGGAAGCCCCAACTCAGGTGGGCACCTGTCCAGTCCTGAGTGGAGGCCTGGGGTCCAGAGCCATGTGGATTTCTAAGAAAAAAAAAAGTTTATTTAAAATTTTGTACATAAATAAATAAATAAATATCTTCTGGTATTACAGAGACCATACAATGACAAGCTAGACCGGGGCGGGGTCGGGGTCTGGGGTCTGGGGAAGAGAGGGGTCGCCGGGAGCGGAGAGCCAGGGTCTCATTTAGGGAAACGCAAAGCGTCTCCGAAACAAAGTGAGTCGGTTTCCCCGAAACGGATATCACGGGCGACGATTTCTCTCGTGGGAGAGGAGCTGCAGGGACAGCAAGGCCTGATTGAGGGACAAATGGGCCCACTGAACCTCGAGGAGGGGACGGAAAGGAAAAGAAAAACAGTAACAAGAGTTCGCAAATGTGTGTGTATGTCTGTGGGAGGGGGGGGAGGCGGGGTGGATAAACGACGGCAGTGAAGAAGTGGGGACGGAGAGAAAGATGTAAAAAAAAAAGGGGGGGGGGGGTGGCGAGCTGGCGTCCGAGGGGGTAAGAGGCCCCGCTTGACCCAGGGTGGAGGGGAGTAGAGGACGCGAGAAAGCCTGAGCCAGTCCAGGGAGGTCAGGCGAGGAGGCGCCAGCGGCCAGCAAGGCGCAGGGCCGACCGGCATGCCCTCCAGGGCCGCTGTGCTGCATCGCTGAGAAGGACTCCAGCGCTTGCAGGATTCACAGCTTGGAGTTCGCTTTGGACGGCTGCGGGCCCTGGGTGGGAATACCAGCGTCAGGTCTCTGCCAAGCCCTTGGCGCTGCCCAGGGCCCGGGACCTCCGCAAACCCTTGCCAAACCCGTGCGTGGCCGCGGTTTGGCAGCGGGTGCCTGGGAACCGGTGCTTAGTCCCACGACGTGTCTCTGAGACGGCAGGGAGGGCCTGGGGTGGGCGACCTGGGGAGGCGCGCGCCTAGGGAGTGACCGTGAGATCCCGGTCATCTTTCCCCGAAGAGGACGGAGACATGGGCAATTCGTCGTCATCCTCGGAGCACTTGGCTGAGGAGAGCGACGCGCATTTGCAGCTTTGCGGTGCGCCAGTGCCCGCGCCCGCGCTCCCGCCGCCGCCGCGGTGGTTGCTGCCTTTGCCCTCCTTCTTGTGCTTCACCCGGCGGTTCTGGAACCAGATCTTCACCTGCTTCTCGGACAGATTCAGGTAGGTGGCGATCTCAATGCGGCGCAGGCGGGACAGGTACATGTTAGAGGCGAACTCGCGCTCCAGCTCTAGCAGCTGCGTGCTGGTGAACGCGGTGCGCATCCTCTTGCTGCTGGGCAGCTGGTTGGAGCTGCTGTCTGGAGGGGGTGGGGTGCAGAGAGGGAAGCGATCAGACTCCTGCGCTGTGGGCCCTATCCTCTCGTACGTGACCAGTAGAATCCCGGGACTTTGGTCTTTCACCTACCTCTTTGCCCCAAACGAAACGCACAGCAGCGTTACCGCGGGCGCCTCCTTGCTAAGCCGCGGGACCCAGATACTCCCAGAGTCACGCAACCCTGGCACTACTTTATGGAGAGCCCTGAACCTCAGTCCTCGTTCGCTCCTGCGCGCCCCCTTCGAGACCTGGACCTCCTGCCCTCCCCCTCCCTCCTGGGTCCTGTCCCAGCCCTCCATCGGCACACCACCCTATTCTCCTCAGGGTCCCAGCATGACTTTCATCGTCCCCAGGACGCCCAGGGACCCTCACCCCCCATCCCTGGCTCGCCAACTCTCATCAGGTCACCCATGCCCTGTCCCACTGCGCAGCGATTCGGCTTACCCACGGAGATGCAGTGGAACTGCCGGGGGTCGGGCAGCGGATAGGAGGTCTGGTAGAGCGCGGCGGCGGCAGCGGCGGCAGCGGGGCCGTGAGCGACCCCGGGCGACACGGCCGAGTGCTGGCGGCCTAGGGGCGCGTGGCAGTACTGCGAGCCGAAGGGCGGGAAGGATGCCTTGAGCAGAGGCAGCGCGGGCGGCCCGGGGGGCCCGTGCAGCTGCGAGGCGGTGACGCAAAGCGGGCACACGCACAGCAGCCCGGCCTTGCGCGCGTGGCAGGCGCCGGGCGAGAGGCCGTGCAGCGCGTGCGGCGGGGGCACGGCGTAGGGAAAGAGCGGCGGCGGGCTGCCCTCCGGGGCCTTCTTCTCGCCTGCCTCGCGCAGCACCAGCGAGTCCACCAGGAAGGAGCGCGGCATGGCCCCGGTGCGCGGTCGCCCCGCCGCCAGCCGTCTCCCTGCGCCCCGCGGACTTCGGGGCTCTCCACGCCCTTCCCCCGGCCGCGGCCCCGCGCTGTTGCCTGTTTGCCGGAGGCTAAAGGGGCCGCTGAGGCCGAGGCTGAAGCTGCGGCGGCTGCTGCCGCGGGCGCCGCGCGGAGAGCTCGAGGTGCTGGCCAGCGCTAGTGGTGCTGAAAGGCGCCGGCGGCGCCGCTTAAATAGGACTATTGCCATGTGATGGGCTACGCCAGGAGCGGCCGGGGCCTCTCAATAGGGTTTTTGTGCCTTTTCTCTTGGCATTCACTCTGCACGCTTCCTCATTATTTCACTTGTTAACTAAATGAACTGCATAATGTACTCTATTCTTGTCAACCCCACCCACGCCGTAACAGACGCCCTCGCCCCCTCCTCTCCCTTTTGCGGGTTTATTTTCTCATTCTCCTGCGATTTAATATTCTTTTCTTTCTCTTTATTCCTTACTCCCCTTTGGCTTTGCATTGGCGATCGGCTGGTTTATCTTATTGATTTTGTAGCCCCGCTGCCTCGCTTCCACAGATTCCCATGGGCGCACACCTCGTCTCTGCGCACTGGGTCCGCGTCCCCTTCCTTCTCTCATCTACCCCTACTCCCCAAGATCATGCTTCCTCCACTCAGTTTGCTCAGGTCTGCGTTGTGCACTCCATAGGTGTCCCTATAGCCGGTCTCGGATTTCCACCTGTGGAATCCTTTCCCCTCTTCATGCGTGGGAGGACCCGAACTCCTGCAGCGGGGAGGCGCTGCTGGGGACAGGGGAAAGGAGTTCAGTATTCCTTATCCACCACTAGCCCCAATGCTGTCTTTCAGCGCTGTTTTAAGTTTCTCCAAAAGTCTTAACTTTGATGCTGCCCTTAACGCCCAGCCTTTGTTCGGTACATGCTAGTCAGCCAGACTTTTCCTTTAAATGACTGGGCTGTGGATGTATAGTGGAGAACGGCCTCTGAGAGTCACTGACAGAGACAAGGAATGGGGAATGAAAGCCTACACCGCGAAGATAGAGCACCTCACTTAGAAGAGGCGATGTAGGTGCTCTGCGGGGCACAGATCTTTTCCGGCGCTCTCTCCACTCATGCACACGTCAAAAGACTCGCGGCTGCGCTTGGAAACCATTGCCTTCCCGAAGTTTGCCCCACAGGAGCAGGGCGAAGGGCCGTTGTATTCCCAACCTCTGGTGCCTTCGCCCAACCGGGTCGACCTCCCCTGTCCCCAAGACCTCCTCCTGCCTCGTCGCTCTCTTCTTTCTGGTCACACAATGGTTAAACAACTTCAAATGCCTGGCTCTGTGTACACAGCTTCGGCCTTTTAAATAGTCCCCGGGCTCAAAGCTGCTTCACCCAGGAACTTTTTCCATACAATGGGAAATTAGCATAAATATTTCGAATTTACAGCCCCGAACTTTTCACCGAAGACGTTTACTTTCGATTTTATTGGAACCAAATCGCTCCAGTCACCTGCTCTGAGCTCTGAATGGAATTGTGAGAAATGAAGGGCGAAGCTTTTCGGAGGGGGGAATCTGTGCTCGGCAGTTAGACTGCCCCAGATTGAAGCATTTATATGGTTTTTCATCATTGGTGACATCTTTACAGTAACAATAGCAACCAATTATAACTGATTAAAAAGCAAAGAGAATTTGTTGGAGAGAAAACAACTGATTCTGTAACGAGAGGGGCAATGGGGAAAATAACCTGGATGAAGCTCATGTCGTTTAGCAGGAGGAGTAGGGCTCAATGCTTCCTTAATTGTTTGGCATGAGGGTCAGGAGATGGATGCTGCCCCCCCTCCCCCCGCCAGAGTCTCCTCTCCAAGGCTCCCCGCCCAAGGGTGGTGCTTGCAAAGTAACCGAGTGCAACAGCGCAGCTTAATGCCGGTTCTAATTGCTCTCTGAGTAATTTGGGCTGGCCAGCACGGCTGAGAGTGAGCCAAGAGCCGGGACCAGGGCAGTAGAGGCACCCCCACTCCGGGGCAGTGGCGTGTGAGAGAGGAGTGCGGGCGGGGCTCCGCGGGGTGAAACTGCACCCCGGAGCCTGGAGCCAGCGAAGAGTGGGGTGCGGAGCTCTCTTGGGAGCCGCAGCCCGCGCCCGGGGAGGAAGGGGTTAAGAGCCCCTGAATGCGAGCAAGGCCAAAGCTACTGGGAAAGAATATGGGGGGGGGGGGGAATAACCAGTTTTTTTTTTTTTCCCCTCCAGCCTCTGGACCTTATTGAATGTCATTGAAGAAAGTTTTGAATGCCAGATAAAGAGAGGCGAATTAAAGTGTGTGACAGCGGAGGATAAGCAAACACAAAGAGAACTCTGTCACACTTTGGGGCAAAATCCGTGGGCTTTTTACCAAGTCTCTTCGCTATGATTGAATTAAGTAATAGGAAAACATTTTCTTTCAGTTTAGAGCCATTAGACAAAAACTTCAAAGCGAATAACACTTTTTAATGTGCGGCCCACAATGGATCGGGTTTTGTGCTGAAATGTTTAAATGGTTTGTTGTGCAACTCGGCGCGGGAGAGACCCGGGCCCAAGAAAATAGCATCCCTGAGAGTGTTTTCGGGAGGCCTGGAAAGAACGCACACTTAATCCGCCATCGCTAAATCCGGAGGGCGCCGGCCGGAAAGGGGGCTCCTGCTTGGCGGTCCGGGACCGCGGGGCGCGCCCCAGGAATTGGGGAATTTCGGGAAAGTACTGTGCCCATGGAGAAGGCCGAGCAGGAGCTGAGGCGCACGGGCCGCCGGGATAACGTGCGGCCCGGCGAGGGGCGCGAGCTCGCCTGGGTGCCCAGTGCCTCTCAGCTCCGCAGCCCAGCCCCGCGGCCTCGGTCCGCCGCCTGGTTTCCGGCCGCTGCCCTCGCACCCCGGAGGACCGCTCCCTGGGGACACCCTGGCTGCCGCGCTGCTTTCCTGGTGGGCGCGCCTTCCGGGGTTGGCTTCAGCTGGGTGTGAACTTTACTCGCCCGAGCAAACGCCCCCCCTTGGGCGGGGCGGGGTGAGAGGAGGCGGTGGGATTAGCCTGACAGCCCGAGAGAGGGGCCTCGGGCAGCCCCTCGGCCTGGTGGGCCCTGCTCTGCCCCCGGAGCTGGTTTTCAAGTGTCCATCAGGGACAGTTCAACATGGAATAATTTCTGTTGTCCCGCTCTTTTCTTCTCTTTCACACCGCCTCCTTTCCTGTTGGTAGAGAGAGCACGCCATTTTCCTCCTGGAAATGTCTCTCTAAGATATTTGCAGCAAATATATCTCTGCAAAAACTGCAGAAATTGGGAGGAGGGTTGGGGAATCCTTGTTCCTTTACCTTGTTCCTTTACATCTTCAAATGTCACTTTTCTTCTCAGGGAGGCCAACGACCCTGTTAAAAAATATCACTCCTTTTCCCCCACGTTCCCCACTCCCATTCCTTGCTTTACAAATACCTTCTATCTTTCTGTGTCTTTTACTTGTTTTTCTGTCTCCGCCCCCCTCCCACCCCACTGAAACATATGCTCCTTTGGGGATCGGCCTATATTTGTCTATCTGGTGCATGACTGTATCCCACCTCAGAAAAGTTCCTGTCATATAGTAGGTGCTCAGTATATATTTGCTGGATAAATAAATGAATCCTGAGGCATAACTCAGGAGGTGGCATGGGTAAGAGGACTTTTTTGTTTGCCCACTTAATACACATAGGCATTTAGAGGCATGGTGTGGGGCAACTTACCTGCAGGAATTGTCTGACTGTCTTGCAGCCTCCACACCTTCTCCAGTGCCTGAACCATCACAGGAGCTCAGTGTGTTGGAGTGAATGGCAGATCTGTACGTACCCAGCCCTCCTCAGGAGTTTCTCACGTTCCTTCATAGGGTCAAGATGGTCCCATTCAAGGCAGTTGCAGTGTCCTGCTCTACAGGACTTGGATGAACCTATTGGGAGCTCAAGGCTAGGGTTTATCATCCAAGGCTTTTCATGGTATACAGGAGATGGGGTTGATTAGAAAGAGAAGCAATATGGTACGTGCCCTGGAATTATCAGTGACCATTTCTCCTTTTTCTGGGTTGAGGCAATGGAGTGGAAATTCTCATTGTAAGTAAGGGACTGCTCACTTAGCCAGGCCAGTAGTGGCTCATACAACTCCCCTCAGGAGAGAGCAGCCTGTTCACTTGATCAGAGGGGCAGGAGAACAGCTAGTCTACCAGGGAATGGTGAGTGCACCTGGGAGCCAGAGTGGAGTGTGCCTTGTTGGGAGGGGGGAGGGCCTAAACGTTGGTGTGAGCGGAAGTGGAGGCTTAGCCACAAAGGGCCATGCTACAGGTTTGTACTTGATCTTATTCAGAGATTTTTAAGCAAGGAAACTTAAGAAATATAACTGGAAGCAGTAGGAGCTCCCATAGATGGGGACACAGAGAGGCTAGAGCAGGATCCAGCAGAGTTGGCTTGCAAATGAACAATTATTGAATTCTTGAATGAACAAAAGTAGGGAAACAAGCAAAGAAAAGGTTAGTTCAAGTGATGGATAATGACCACCTGAGATCTGGAAAGGGGACATGAGGATCAGAAAGTGGAAATATTTGAGAGAATTTGAAGGGGAAAATGGGTGAGACCAATTAGGTGTGTGTGTGTTTGTGTGCGTTCGTAGGTGCTGGAGGGGAAGGACATGAAAGAGGGAGGGCATCAAACACATGGGAAGGAGGCATCAAACACATGGGGAGGGAAGGAGTGGAGTCATATCAAAGGCAGAGTCAGGGAACTCAAAAGCAGGACCTACTTTTGCTTGCAGAGGTGCAACATTATATCATATTTGGATGTGTTGCTTTTGTTTTTCATTTTTTATTTATTTTTTTTATTTTTAAGTAGTAAGTAATGTGGACCTTGAACTCATGACCCTGAGATCACGGTCTGAGTTAGGATCAAGAGTCAGACTCTTAACTGACTAAGCCACCCAGGTGTCCCACATTTTTTTTTTTTTAAGTAAACTCTACCCCCAATGTGGCTCAAACTCAGACCCTGAGATCAAAAGTCACGTGCTCTACCA